CACAGTCCTAAATGCAAAGCAGAGTTTATCACGTAAAGAAATTTTCAAGTAAAGTAATAGTGAGAAGAAAAGAATGTTAACATGAAAATAGCGTGTTAGGGAAATTTTTGATGGATGGCTCTGTGGATTTTCCTGTAGTCTTTGCCCCGGTTCCCTTAGTTGGCAACATATGCTGTAGCCTCAGAGAAGATTGCTGACAATACAGAGAGAAGCAAGATGCACATTTTTAATTTTTTTTTTTTTCAGTTTTTTTAAATTTTGCTTTTTTGTGAGACAGTATCTCACTCTGTCCCCCAGTCTGGAGTACATTAGTGTAATAATAACTCACTGCAGCCCTGACTTCCTGGGCTTAAGCAATCCTCCTACCTTAGCCTTCCTAGCAGCTGGGACTACTGGTGCGCACCACCATGCTCTGCTAATTTTCTTTTTTCTTTTTCTCTTTGTAGAGACTAGGTCTTGCTATGTTGCCCAGTCTGGTTGTGAACTCCTGGGACCAAGTGATACTCCCTCCTCAGCCTCCCAGAGTGTTGGGATTATAGACGTGAGTCATGGCATCTGGCCTAAATTTTACTTTTAATTTAAAAAGAGATACAAACATAAGGTATAAAAATTTGGGAGAATGCCTCAAAATTACTTTCCTGCTTTTTTTAGAGGTACTCCTTCTAGGAGCCTGCAGGTCAGCAAACCAAAGTCCTCGGGTCAGACATAGCCTGCAGACTGTTTCTTTGACTAAAGTATCTTTGGATAACTTTCATTCTTTTATTTATGACTGTGTTCACAGTGCAGTGGCAGAGTCGAGTAGAGTAGTTGTGATAAGACTGTAAAGTTGAAAGTATTTACCAGCTGACCCTTTGCAGAAAAGTTTGCCACCACTGGCCTAGACTGTGGTGGATCTCTGAGGAAAAGCCCCAGGCCCTTCTCTGCCCTTCCTGTCCCATGCCAGATCCCAAAAGGAAGGCTGTGGGTGGAACATTCAGAGACGGTTGGAGATTAAATACTTAAGGAGTCAAAACAGGTTTGGGAGATCAGGCTGTTTCGATCTCACATATTTGGGTTGTCTAGACTGCTGGTTACGAGACTGTCTTACAATTTCCACATTCTCTATGAAGCACAGAGAGTGGTGGTAAGTTTATCTACTCATGTACTAGCATAATGGGCATAAAGGACCTCAAAGGATCTCACTGAGCTTCTCGTGGGTATAAAGTGGCACAGGAAAGCAGTCAGACATTTCCTGGAAATCCAAGAAAGATTTAAACGTAGTCAGGAATGGAAACTAAGGGAGCTGCAAGTTGTATGAGTGGCAGCCAATACCCATAGGATACAGGTACACCTGTGATAGGATATTTGTTCCAGCAGCTGATGCCCAGTGGCTCCTTGCCCTCCGCCAATGGTAACTGTGGCTCTCATCAGTCCCCATCACCACTGTAGGGACATCAGGTACAAACCCAGAGGCCTGTGAGACCCTGAAGAGGGTGACAGGATCTTGAGTTGGCAGAGATAACCGAGAAACTTCTCTATCATTTAGGAGCCATTTTAGCTTCAAACAAGGTTAAGTGGCACTTTTAAGGTTTGAGGAACCTCTAGTTGTCTTAAAATTACCCTATGTCCATTCACATGCCCCGGTCTGTGCTCTTTCCAAACCCAAGATCTGTGTTCCCATAAGCAAAGTTGTGGATTTGGCCTTAGTAGTGACACAGCCGCTCCCAGGACCAGCCTTTGAGTTTGATTATTTGCCATCTGACCTGTATTCTAGAATCAGTAACATTTGTTTAACACAAACATCACCATATTGTTGTTTTCTGTCTGTGCTTTGAGCAAACACTTCAGCAATTGGAGGTGGCCATTTTCTTTCTTTAAAGTTGTTGATCCCAGCAGGAATTAACCAGTTATGAGACTTTGAATAATCCAGTGATGAGTGCTTGAATTATGTCATATTATAAAGCTGGGAAAGATAGGATAGAGAAAAAAATGATTTGGGGAGCAAAACCTCCTGACTGTGGGGAGTAATTGCCAGTGTGATTGGACATTGTAGAAGTGGTTCAGGGAGATTCCAAGATTCCTGGCTTGAATCGCAGGTGGTATGGGCTCCACAGAACTAACTCAGACTCTGAAGGTGAGGTGTAAAAATCATTTCAGGCATGGAAATATTGAGACTGGGTTTCTGTGACATTCACAGAAAGAAATTTGATTTGAATCTTCATATATAGATGTAGACTTAAGAGGAGTTATTAGGACTAGAGACAGAGACTTGGCACTTAGCATAAAGTTGGAAATTAGGCCACCGTAATGAAAAGGTGGGTGACTCTACAAAGTTTTGATGTTGTTAGTTGAGAACCGTTTCTCATTTCTTTTGGTCTTAGGTAAACGTCACAGATTTCCTTTTCAGTTTTACTGCTGTTCCAATGTTCTTATCACATGATATATACATTAAGCACTGGCTAAACATGCTGTTGTACCTGGCAGAAGTGGGTAATATTTTTGAATGTTTTTCAATAAAATTTTTTTCGACAAATCTATTTTGTTGTAAATTCTTTTTAATCAAAGAGCGAGTGTGATATAACTACAAGAGTCATTCAGGTGAGCTCTAGTCAGGTTCCTTTCATTGTAGCCTGTGTTTTCAATTACTTCAGAGCTTAAAGAGCTTGTTTCACTCCTTATAAAACGAAGATAGGGTAAGCATTCTGACACACCTAAAAACTTATAAAGAAGAAATGAGATGATTGATAAGATAGTTTCCAAGATATAAATCCTTGTAATAGTGAACAGCAATATGATTATTCATAGCATATCAAATCTCTGGCCTTTGGGTCACCGAAATTTTATGCTTTGGCAAAATGCAACAATTTTCAAACACCTGGGGAAGAAACAGCAATGGGTCTTTGCACACAGGCCAACATGCTCAAGAGTTTGTTTCTCTATCAGACATAAAGAGTGAAAATACACAGCATTAATTACAGTTTGTATTATTAAAATGTTTACATTTGTTTTTCTTTGTGGTATTGTAATGAACATTAAAACAGTTGTACTTTCAATTCAATTTGGCTATAATACTACACTTGTTTTTAGCAAGGCAGCTGTCCTAATGTAATAATATCAGGGTTTTTATTTAGTTTATTATCAAAGCAATATGGAATCAGGATCATTAGTGTTACCAATGCAAGTCAGACATTCACATGTGTAATCCTGAGAGCACAGCTTAATATGACCATTCGTCTCAACACAATGAGAATGAATGGAATAAGATGCCAGATGGATAAATAGGCAGTAACAAATTAAATTTGCAATACTTTGACAGTAGTGAGAAGCAAAAGGAAAGAAAAATACATTTTTCTTTTTATGAGAGGGAGTCTCACTCTGTTGCCCAGGATGGAGTGCAGCGGTGCAATTTCAGCTCACTGCAACCTCTGCCTCCCAGTTTAAGCAATCCCTCTGCCTCAAACCTCCCAAGTATCTGGGATTATAGGCATGTGCCATCATGCCCAGATAATTTTTGCTTTTTTTTAGTAAAGATGGGGTTTCACCATGTTGGCCAGGCTGGTCTCAAACTCCTAACCTCAAGTGATCTGCCCGCCCCAGGCTCTCAAAGTGCTGAGATTACAAAGTGCATGAGCCACCGAGCCTCCCAACGTGCTGAGATTACAGGCATGAGCCACTGCACCTGACCGACAAATTCTTTTCAACATGTGAAAAACCCAAAAGTTTAATTTGTTCCTATGGTATCTTAAACCAGAGATCACAATTAGTGAATTTTAAATTTATCCTCTGTGACAAAATCCACGTCATGAAGACAAAACTTTTACCAAGGTAAAGCATTGAAAGAAAAACAAAGAATAATAACGCTAAAATTCTAAATTTGACTGATTATTTAATTCATGCCAGCCACAATGCTAAGTGAGTTACCTGCATTATCTCTTTTAATTCTAGGAACAACTTTGAGTAGTAATGCAATTTTCATTCTAAAGATGAGAACCCTAAGGCTTAGTGAGGTTGATTCACTTGCCCAAAGACCAACAGCTGTTACGTGGTTATGATCAGGATTCAAAGCCCATCTGTGTAACCCTGGAATCCCAGACCTCTAATCTCTATTTCCAAAAATCTATGGAAAATTACTCTTTCTTTTTTTAAAGTTATGTCTTACATGCTAAACTTAAGGGAGGCTTTAAAAGAGAAGGATGTTATAGTTTATATAAACTAGGACTAGGCTGCAAAAATCTTGAAGACCACAAATCTATCATTGATTGGCATCTGACTCTGTGGGGTGGGGGGGAAGAGGTGATGTGAAAACCTCAGTATATATTTCACTCTATTGATATCCATTTATTTGTCTGCTCATAAGTCCTGCACCATATATTTTTTCAGTGTTTGCTATGAAGCAAACATTTGTCCTTAAGGAATTCATTAAAATTGCCTTTGAATAACACCAGAAAATTCAGAAGAATCCCCTGACAGATTTAAACGCTGATAATTTGCTTTTATTAGCACAAGAGAAATATAACCTTAATAGACAATTAGGCTTGGTATTTAATTATTGTCTCAAAAATGGCTTCATATGAATTATTCTGAAACTAAAACTATTATCGTTGGCAGAAAATTTACAGAATTTAATTGGTTTCTATCAAATAATTCCATACAGCATGATAATTTGTTTCAGATCTGTAGGGTACACTTTGTTCCTAATGCACCCTGGCAGGTTCACTGCAAAAACCATGTGAATCTACATTACATGCTTCATGAGGACATTGCTGAAGAATTTTACGTCTGCTATGATAATTCCCCAGATTCAAGGCTACTCTGCATTGATGTATGGTAGAAAAGTTTAGGCATTCAAGAAGCAGCTGTTGTCATGTCAGAAGACACTTAGAGTTCCCAAGCAAAATTCCAGTTTTGTCCTCAAGCAAAATGTATGCTATTTGCTGTGAGTTCTTCTGCCTTGTGTCATCCACGAGGAAAGAAAATCTAAAAACAAAATAAAACTGATGCGTCACTGTTATCTACTTTTAGTTTCAATTTCCTTTATGGTTTACTTTAAATAAAAGTATCCAGCTAGTTGAAAGGAATATATATACCTCTTCTTTTGGTGGTACATAGAAGAAAGGAGTGTGAAATGATTATATCATGAATTTTCTCATATATATTTAATGGTTGTGGTTCTATATTGGCATGTAGTAATTCTTGGTCCTTACATAGCAAACATACTTTGTATATTTTAAAGGCATTTATGGTTTTGTATATGTGAAAACAAAACCAAAATTTTGAATCTTGAAAGTATAGAAATCAGAAAAATTGTCAGCTATGGTGTTTTACTGGAAGTAGATGATTCCATGTTATTTTGGGGGAAAAATGTTTTCACTTCTTTCCTGAGAAAACTACTTGAATGCACTCTTAAACTAAATTAATGGAAATCACATACACAACCATTTTGCTTGTGAACTCAAGAAAACTGTGAAGTCACTTTTGACCTCATTGGGGATGCTCTGACATGAGCAGCTGAGTATTTTATTCAGCAGTATATCTTGTTTCACAGTTTGATTCAGAGCTGGGTCCAATTCTTAGCATGGTGCAAAGGATTTATTTTCTTTGTATAAACAAAGATGCAGGACTATATTTGACTATTGACTATTTGGGGGGATGGATTGGAGACAGATTGTTTTAAGAGACATGGGAGGCTAAAATATATGGTGTTCACAGGGTAAAGATGACAGTGCTTACCAAACTGTTCTACATATTCAATGATACTGGTGCCAAAATTTCAGCTGGCTTTTGTTACAGAAATTGAGAAACAGCCCTTTACAATCAATCATCTGGAAATGTAAGAAACCTACAACAGCCAAAACAACCTGGCAAGAAAGAACAAAGTTGAAGGACGTATACTATCCTGTTTCAAAACTTAGCACAAAGCTACAGCAATTAAGACATTATGGTACTAACACAAGGAGAGATATATCAACTAATAGAATAGAAATAAGATTTCAGAAATAAATCTTTACATTTATGATCAACTGAGTTTTGATATAGGTGCCAATATAATTCAATGTGATATTTTCTATGATACAATTCACTTTATCAACTTTTCAATAAAAAATACTGGGAAAACTGAAACGTTACACAGAAAAGAATGAAGTTGGCCTTCTACTTCACACCATACACAAGAATTAACTGAAAAATGGATCACAGAAACAAATGTAAGAGGTAAAATTATAAATTCTTATAAGAAAATATTGCAGTAAATCTTCATGACCTTTGATAGATAGGACACCAAAAGCACAATCAATGTAAGTACATACATATATGCATAACAGATTTGTGTCACAAACAGTACCATCAAGAAGTGACTCTCAAATATTTAAACATAAATTTATTACATGACTCAATATAATATCTAAGTTTACACCCTCCAAAATAAAAACATGTCCCTAGAAAAGAATCATACATGCATAATTAGGGCAGCCAAACAGTGAATTATTCATAACAGCAAAAAATACCACTAAATATCATTCAGGCATAAAAAAGGAATGAAGTATTTGTACCTGATAAAATCTGGATGAACCTTGAAAACATTATGCAAAGTGAAAGAAACCAGTCAAAAAGACCACACATTAAAAAGAAACAAACAAGCAAATGACCACATAGTAAATGATCATATTTGTACTAAATGTTCAGAATAGAAATGGCTGAAAACAGAAGATAGACTAATGGTTGCTAGGGGTTTGAGAAAGAAAGGAAATGGGAGTGACTGCTAATTGTTATGTAGTTTTTTTCAGATGGTGGTGAAAATGTTCTAAAATTAGATGTGATGGTTTCAGAAGTCTGTGACTTTATTAAAAAACACTGGATGTTACAGTTCAAATGTGAATGTTATGGTATATAAATTATATCTCAATGAAGCTCCTAATAAAACGATATTAGAGAACTAGTAGAACAGAGGCTACAATAAAGGAAAGTACGAGTTGTGAGAATGGGCATGGCCTATGAGATGAGTAGGACAGAAGGTTTAGAAATCACAGAAATCACTCTGCCCCAGGTGACTAGAGGATACCAAAGGCTAATGGGAGAACATTTTCTAAATCAGTCTCTTTCTCTGCACCAGGTCTGAGTGTGTGCTGATCTTGTTTTACCAGCCTCAAAGAAAGACTAGTTTCCCATGTCAATTGGTCTACTGCATCTACAACTTTATAAATGAGACTCAGTTTCATCATTAGCCTCAAAATGTTAAAGCCTATGTTTACCTTTAAGGGCCTTTTGCAAACAGGATCTATTCATGAACAAATGTAAATGCCTCTTCAACCCCAAGGAACATTGAGAAGGAAAATTCCTTATACATTTTTCCTTGATTTAAACCTTCTGTAGTTCCAATTTGTTATAATGTGTTCATTTAATTGTTCTGTGTATAAGTTAGTTATCACACTGCTGTGAAGAAGTATCTCAGAGTGGGTAATTATAAAGAAAAGAGGTTTAATTGACTCACAATTTCACCTGGTTGGGGAGGCCTTAGGAAATGTACAATCATGTCCAAAGACACCTTTTCACAAGGCAGCAGGAGAGAGAATGAATAAGAAGGGGAAATTCCAGACACTTATAAAACCATCAGATCTCCTGAGAACTCACTATAATGAGAACAACATGGGAGACACTACCCCTATGATTCAATTACCTCCCACTGGGTCCCTCCCAAGAAACATGGGGATTATGGGATTACAATTCAAGATGAGATTTGTGTGGGGACTCAGCCAAACCATTTCATTATGTTAACTATTTTTAGTATAGGTCAACAATATAACATGTATAAATTACAATTTATTTACTCTTTGTTGCTATACAAATATTAAACATAGAACAACCACGTACATGTGACACTTTCATGGGATATACAAAAAACTAAAATGATTGTAATCAATGTATAGCCTAAACCTGACTTTTCAGCATTCACCTTATCTTATTGTCTCCATAGTATCTGCATTCCCAAGATAAGCAGTGGTTTGGTTAAACAGTTATTGAATATTAAGTACAATTTGAACAAAAATTTCAATTACCAGCCTACGAGCGTGACTATTGCTTTTTGGCAATTTGCTTTCCATATGGTTTGCTGTGATTTTCACGGCGACTTCTTCATCAATCAAAGTCAGCAAACACAACCTGCCATTTTCTCCTCATTATTTCCTCTCTTCTTATGAATTTTCTAATAAAAAGAAAAACAGATCATTCAAACAATTCAAGTGAATCAGCAGAATGACAAATGTTTAAAGTTTGAATGTAATTTTCAGTAATTTATTCTTCCATTTTAAATAATGATGATCAAAAGCTGTTACTTGGTCAGTTGAACTTATTAAAGAGAGTTTGTAATTAGAAAATATTCTTTTAGAAGTGCCACAGAAAGCTTGAAACAATATTTATATTGAATATTTATATTACTTTGTGACACTTCTGGAAGTTTAACCAGTTAAATTGTTCTGCATGAATCCATTATAATTTTTCTTGATTCTCTATTGTATTATAACATTTAAAATTGTTCATTGACTGATTAGAAGACACTAATCTAATCAGTAACAGAAAAGGAGAATGTTTACCTGTGTTGACCTAATAGGAAAAAAAAGTTTATTGGGTAGCCAACAATGTATAAATGAAATATACTGAAGCAAAAATAAAGAACGCAAAAGGAAGATATTGCTGTATGTGCAGCTGGAGGAGTTGAATATAAGTGAAAATTCTGATACAGAAGGAGGTAATTCATTCCTATCTTTTCTGAAAATAATTGAATATCATTTTAGATAGTTATTGTACTTTGCCTCTTAACCATAGACCTGGCTCAATGCGTTTATAGAAATAATGTAAACACCAAATTGCTAACATTTGTTATGCCTTATCACAATTGGCACTATCAACTTTTCTCCCCTGTTCCTCTATTTTAATATTATCTTCTACTAAAACTGATCACACTATCACTATCCAGGTATTTCCCTACTAATCATTCTCATACTGGCATCCCTAAGTTGCAAATCAAAGTTTCCTTACCTATAAAAGTATTTTCACAGCTTAGCCTCCCGGAGTAAACATGTCAATCAGCAAAGATCTGCCTGCATCAATTTTGTGCAAAACCTTTCAGAAAAGAAGTGATTTCAAGGGCTCTGTGTGCTGTATTGATTAGACAAAGTTACAGACTCATCAATGGCACTATATGTCCCACCTAGAGTTTACCCCAAGCCTAAATCACCTGTTTAACTAGTGGACTACTAATTTACAATCCCATATAGATTTATAAATCTCAAGTCACCGATTCCAAAAAAAGGAACGTTTAGAATCTGTTATTGGAACTATTGTCTCACGGTTGGTACAGCATCCTCCTATGTTGACCATGATATGTGGAGACAATGGTGATGGTGTGTCAACAACAATCCCCTGACAAAACACTTCCTGTACTGTGTTTTGTGAAGGTCTGGTATCTGTAGGCACTTTGATTTTTTTACTGAATATTAACTATTGATCTTGATTCCTATTGATTATGTGAGCTTCTAAACACTCCTTCAATTCATCAGAGTATTTCTGTTGCTTAAAATTAAAAATATTGTCTAAAATTAATATTATGTTGGTCATAAATTAACAATAAAATATTAATTTATTATGATAAATTAATAAGTTAACAATAAAATATTAATTAGTATAAATTATTATAATTTATAATCATAAATCCTTACCTTATATATTTAGAAAAAAGACTTTGCTTTTTTAATTTATAATTTTTGTATGTACATAGTATATATATATATATATATATATATATGGATTACATAAGGTATTTTGATACAGGAATGCAATATGTAATAATCACATTAGGGTAAATGGAGTATCCATAACCTCAAGCAATTATCCTTTGTGGTACAAACAATTCAATTATCCCCTTTTAGTCATTTTATTTATTTATTTAATTGGTGATGGAGTCTTGCTCTGTTGCCCAGGCTGGAGTGCAGTGGTGCCATCTCAGCTCACTGCAACCTCAGCCTCCAGGGCTTAAGTGATTCTCTTGCCTCTGCCTCCTGAGTAGCTTGGCTTACAGGTGTGTGTCACCACATCCAGCTTGTATTTTTAGTGGAGACGGGGTTTCACTATGCTGACCTGGCTGTTCATGAACTCCCGACCTCAAGTGATCCACCACCTTAGCCTTTTCACAGGCTAGGATTACAGCGGTGAGCCACTGTGCCTAGCCTTGTTTTTGTCATTTTAAAATGTACAATTACAGGGCCAGACATGGTGGCTCATGCCTGTAATCCCAGCACTTTGGGAGGCCTAGGTGGGTGGATCATGAGGTTAGGAGTTCAAGACCATTCTGGCCAACATTGTGAAACCCCATCTCCACTAAAAATACAAAAATTAGCTGGGCGTGGTGGCACGTGCCTGTAATCCCAGCTGCTTGGGAGGCTGAGGCAGGAGAATTGCTTGAATGGGGACCCAGGAGGCAGAGGTTGCAGTGAGCCAAGATGGCACCACTGCACTCCAGCCTGGGCTACAGAGTGAGATTCCATTTAAAAAAAATGTACAATTACATTTTTTTTTTTTTGCCATAGTCACCCTACTGGGCTAGCAAAATGAAACTTTATTTCTTATCTAGGGTTATACCCCTCAAGGCAGCCATTCTGAAAGTCTGGGAAGCAAAGACTTTCACAGAAACTGGAAACAGACTTTTGGAGGGAGGGAGGGTAAAGCAGGAACTCATGCTGAGCAGGCTGGTCAAATATACATATTCAACATGTTATAGAAGAATCTTCTGAATATTTATGAGGGAGTACTAACACGTGTACTTAAACGAACATGCATGCATGTTCCATGTGTCTCATGTTCACTTTGGGGGGAGAGTTAACATTTAAATGCATTATAATTAGGCTGCGTACATCAAACGGGGAAACAAGGACACAAAGGCACTCCATGGGCAGCCTCTGTAAACCCGCCAGAGCCAGGTTGGTAGTTTCTTACCAGGAGGAAATTATTGAAATTAGTTACTTAGTTCAATCAAAGCTATTCAACGATTTCCGATGAGAGTAAGCTTAAAATAGCTAAAGAACTTGCCCATGCTCACTCCAAAAGTACATAGCTGTTATGGCTTGCTTATTTGTGTTCTCCCAAATTTATGTGTTGAAACGTAATAATTAATGTGATGGTATTAGGAGGTGGGGCCTTTGGAGGTGATTAGATCATGAGGATGGAGTTCTCATGAGTGGGATTAGTACCCTTATAAAGGAGGTCCCGCAGACCTTCACCCCTTCCACCCTGTGAGAATACAGGGAGAGGAGGCCTTCTATGAACCAGAAAGCAGACCCTCACCAGATCCAGAATTTGCAAGAGTCTTGATCTTGCTTATTCTTAGACTTCCAAGCCCCTACAACTGTGAGAAATGTTTATGTTGTTTATAAGCTGCCCAGCTTATGGTGCTTTGTTACAGCAGCACAAATGAACTATGACAGTAGCTGAATTGGAATTTCAACCCTGGTCAGTCTGACTTCAAAATGAAAATACCCAGCCACTCAGTTAGTTTGCCTGTGATATGCTCTCGGGCGTTTTTACAGCAGTGGGATAAGTTATTAAACAACTTACCAGTTCTGTGACTTGTAGGAGGAAGGTTTAGCCCACCTAACAAGAATAACTGTTGTGTAAGTTAACCTTTATCTAGCTCATCATCAAAAAACAAATTAAGATAGGTCTTATAAAGCCTCAGGCTACAAAACATTTTAAAAAGGAAAAGTGTAAAATATTAAGAAGGATTATGTTCCTGATTAGACATTTTCCCCTTCCTAAGGCAATGATCCAAAATATTTGAGAATCAGTGGATGAAACCTCTAAGAAATATGTTATTGAATATAATTGTCAGCAGGGAGCGATTTCACAAATTTTAGATCTGTGGCTACTTCTCACTCTGTTGGTGATTACGGTCTCTTCTCAACTATCCCTAATCACCTATCAGTATCAAAAATGACTTATTTATGGATAAAATGAATTTTTAAAATATGTAAAATTCTAAAAAGGCAAGTAGGTCAACCAACTTAGAAAACTGCAATAATAAAGACAGCTGGCTATGCTTTATTATTTTCAGGAGCTGAGTCTCTTGCCTTCTAATGGCCTGTTTAATCAAGGGATTCTCATTCAAACTTGATTCTGTGCCATAGGTTGATTTCCCTATAAGGATTGCGTAAATAATGAAGACTCACCACACAGAAGAAAAGTGGTGGTGGAGCAGTTCCAAGGTTGGCAACTCAGCTGCTTAATGACGTCATCAAGAAAGTGATCTTTTCCTCCTTCTGCTCCGTCCTTCTCAGCATGCTGCCCATGGATAGGATATAGAGGCTTCTTAGTCATAAAATGGCTGCAGCCGTTCCGAACACTGTACTCTCATACAACTTCCCAAAGTCAGAAAAGAAAATATCGATACTTTGTATTCATTGTTTTAAAGTGAGGAAAATGCTCCAGAGTAAATCCCCAAACTGTCAGGGTAACATGTATTTTCCTTGGTGGATTGTTGGTGAAGAATCTGTCACAGGCTGTTTTGAACACTGTTACTGGCAAGATGAAACCAGTTGCCATGGTTAGCTTAATTGGGATCCACCCAACTCTGCTAAAGGAAGGTCCTAGCTTCCCTGAACGGGGGGAGGCTGATGATTGATTAAGAGTCATGACAAGTACCACAAGTGCCTACTCTCATAGACAAAGCTGCACCTATCCCTCATCAATGCAAAAGACCACGCGTTCATCTGTTTTCATCTTTGCATTAGAATAATTTTATGGCTTAGTTATCCGCAAGTATAATCCAATTTGTTAATGCTTTTAATAATCTATTTTGTGTATTTTCTTTTAGTCTCACAGTCTCATCTAGAAAAGCCTTGCAGTGTAGCTGATTGTAATAAGCACTAATAATAATGGAAAGAGTAACGGTATTACTAGTAATAATACCATCACCAGCATCAAATGATTACTAATGACAAAATTATTATATTTTTTGCTTTTATGATAGCGTTATAATGTATAGAACATTTTACAGGGGAAGGCAACTGAGGCTTAGGGTCATTAAGTTAGTTGCCCTAGGCCACAGAATTTCTCATCTTGAAAGGATCTCTCCTGGTCAATGTTGGAGCATCCTGCGAAGAGCCCTGGAATCTATTAGTGCCAACACCCTTTGCACCTGTACTTGTACAGGTG